GAACCCACGGGCTCAGGCAATCCACTCACCTCAGCCTCCCAAGGCACGGGATTACAGGCTGAGCCACCGAGCCCGGCTTACATACCTATTTTTATATAAATCCTCCAATAACTTCTTTCTCATGATCTGATATTGGTTATTAACAAGTACAGTGCATTCTCATTATTTGTGCTTTGTGAAAAGACTAAATGCTAAGCCTCCATTGCAGGCTGTAATTCCAAATATGTCCCTTCCAAACACCCAAAAATAAACGGTATTTGGGTTTCAGTTTTTTGTTGTTGTTTTTTTTTGTTTTTTTTAGTTTCAGTTTTGTTATGGGTTGATAGAAACACACAAAACAAAAGGAACCTTTTAAACAGGCTATAAAGTTCTCCCCCAGAGGCTCTGTCAGCATCTTAAGGGCTTTCTTCTCACTCTAGTTTCCCAGTAAGAAACTCCATCAGAAATGAGACAATCAGGAGGGAATAAGAGTTGTCAACTAAGAAATGAACATCTTAAAGAGACTGCTGCCCGGGTGTCAGGATCAAGCAAAATATTGGCCATCAGTTAACCTGATGAGAAAAGATTAATGATGGAAAATATCCTAGTCTAAATGTCTCTATAAGTTCAAAAAAGTTCCCTAAAACACATACAAATTAGGAATTATGATTCAAATAATGAACACAGAGGAGAAAATGAGAGCAAAAGCCTTAGCAGGAAAAACATAATATTTAATGTATAAATTACCAAATGTGTTTTGCTAAGTATAATCTAGCGAAGTCTTAACCATGATGGTAACACAAGCCCTACACTAGACCCACATGATCAATGGTATTTTGATCTATCCCAAAGAATGACTAGATGTTGTATTTTTAAAGTTAATAGTGACATTTAAGTCTGTTTTCATTCAGCATATTGTATCAACTTATATACTTACCAATGATAATTTTTCATTCACCTTTAGCAATTCAAAGAGGAACTTATCAAACATAACCTTTTTGCTACTCTAAACTATAGCATCACTTTTAAAATTTAAATCTTGAGAATAAAGGATAATTTCTCTAAACAGTCTCTCTTACTAACCAAAAGAAATTTGTTACAGGGACCCATATAACAAGACAGATATTAATTAAAATAGCTTCAGTGATAGTGTTTTTTAAATGGAAAAGCAGCATACAGAGACTATGACTATTCTGGATGTCAAGAGGTAAAACAGACATGATTCTGGTAGTTTCAAAACCATAAACATAAATGACCTTGAACTCAAAAAAACTATAAATCAAATTTTCATATATTCACAAAGCAAACATGGAGTTAGAATTCTCTCCCTATGAATTTCAGGATAATTTTGACTATGAAGGACTCTAGAATGATGGAAAATGGTATGAAATAAAGATTCCACATTCTTATGTAACTGTAAATTATGGAAACAGTGAGAATTGCACAACTGTATCTTCCACATATTTTCCATCAGGGAAAACGTGTTAGGGACTAATTAAGCTTTTCTAGAGGTTAATAAGAATCATTTTGAAAAAATAAACACCTCCAAAAATATCAGACCTGAACCTGATCAAGCCTCTAGGTTTAATAAGTTGCAGGAAATCCAGAGGACAACGGGGCATGTTAAATAATTCAACAGAGAGGCAACTTGCAGAATCCAGATCCTGAGAAACAAAATAATCTAGTTTCTTCAACAAATAAGTCACCAAAAAAGGAGATGGAGAAGGGGAATTATAAATTAAAAGATTTTAGAGACATAACCAGTTACATGTCGATCTTATTAGGTTTCTGAGTCGTACAAACTGAATTAAAAACGAAGCTACTTAATGAGATAAGAAATCTCAATGCCAGATATTTGCTACATGAAAAAATATGTTAACTCTTTTTAGATTTGGAATCCATCCTTTAGAGATGAATACTGAACCATTTCTGGGATTTACTCCAAAATAATACGACAGTGAGAAAAGCTTTCTACACGTCTTCACTAGGTATGGTGTCTGCTCCAGTCTCTTAGCAGAGACTCTGTATCAGGTTAAGGATACTTCCTTCTACTTTCAGTTGAGTTTTCATCAAATATGGATGCTGGATTTTACCAACCATTTTTTTTGACATTTATCAAGATAACCTCATTTCTCCTTTAATTTCTTCATGTGATGAGTCACACAGTATTAGATTTACTAATGTTAAACCAATCATACATTGTGGAATAAACTCAACTTGGTTATGACAGAGTTATGATTTGGATAGTAAATACTATGGTACTGGAAAGCTGGATGTGAATATCTAAAACTTTAATATCTACAAATATGGTCATGAGTTCTTAGCCTGGCCTGTAATTTTCTCTTACTTTCCTTGTCAGATGATACACTGAGATGGGCATGTTCTTTTGTCACATTACTTTCAAATAGTTTATGAGAAGACTAACCTATATATACCATAAATATTAGAAATCACGTGTAAAAATCAGCTAGGCCTGATGTTTTCCTGAAGAAAGAAATTATCAGCTACTGATCTGATTTCTTGAATGGCCATTCAACTAGTAAGGTTTCCCATGTGATGATCTCCAAGGCCTTGTACCCATCTGCCTGCCGGGCAGTCCTTTCTCCCACCATCTCTTTGACCACATGTCCTGCCATTTGTCCCTACTGCCCTCTACTTCAGTCACTAGCCTTGCTGTACCTTCAGACGCTCCTGTCTCAGGCACTGGCAGTCACCCCTGTCCTTCCTAGGACGTTACCCCACTCCCATTCCATATGGCTGATTCCTTCTTTCTTTCAAGTCCCCTCTCAAATGTTATCTTTTCAGCATTCTCTCCTGGCCATGGTATATAAAATAGTACACACCATCCCAGTCATCATAATTTTAGTTTTACTGTTTTTGGGTTTTTTTTTAAATTGTAGTGACAAGGTCTCACCAAGTTGCCCAGGCTGGTCTCGAACCCCCTGAGCTCAGGCAATCCTCTCATCTCGGCCTCCCAAAATACTGGGGTTACAGGCTTGAGTCACTACACCTGGCCTAGCTTACTCTAATTTTCTAGTAATGCTTGTCACTACCTGATATCCTATATTAACTTGATTAATTTGTATTCTACTGAGAGGGGGAGTAAAAAATAAGTTCCACGAGAGCAGAGACTTTATCAATTTTGTTCACTCTTGCAATTCTAGTGCCTAGTACTTAGTAGACACTTAAAAATACTTGGTAAGTAAATTAATAACATGTTAGAATTTTAATGAAATTTAAACTCAATGGGTCAGTGATATGATATACCCACAAAAAGAAATAAAATCCCTCTAGTAATGGTGAGAACATACCTGAAAAACTAGTTCTAGACTTCACATTTAAAGACACTGGCAAATTGGAGAACATCCACAGAAAAATGTCTACAGGGTAAATGAAATCTGACACTTGTCCTGATGGGGGGAGGGCAGTGTAGGAGAATGGAAGTATAATAAACTTTGGGTTCACATCCTGACCCTGCAACTAGTTCTAGAACTCTGGGCCGACAGTCTCTTGGCCCATTTCCACATAGAAAATAATAGCAGTTCCATACGCCTTGCAGGATTTCTGAAAGAATTAAGAGAGCAGCAGAGGTATCCAGTACCCATCAATACCAAAGAAGGACAATGAAAACAGGTCAGTGGTATGTCCCAGGTATTAATGAAGCTACTAAGTGGCAGAGTCTACACTTGAACCCAGAACCTTTTACTCTAGTTCAAGATCTTTCCAGTACTCTATACCACATCTCAGTCAATTCCATTTTACATCAACATATTCCAAATCAGCCATTAACTCAGTTCTCAATGTCTAGAAATAACTTTAGAACACAATTCTCACAGTGTGGCCCAGAAACTCTAGTGGTCCCTGAGACCCTTTCAAGGGGTCTGCAAGGTCTCAACATGAATAGAGTAGTTTCCAGAAGCTACAACAAGTCATATCATGACAGACTGAATGCAGAAGCATGTATATGAATACAGCTGTCGTCTACGAAGCTAAACATTAAAGACATTTGTAAGAATGTAAAACAATACCATTCTCACTAATTTTTTCAGAAGATAGCTATTTTTCAAAAAAAAGACTTGCATTAAGATGTAGTGTGTTTATTATTGCTATTTTCAAATAAGATAATAAATATTACATTTTATTATAATTTCAAATACAACAAATGTCAGTGGATAAGACCCACATTAACAAAAAAGAGCATACAGGGATCATGAGGAAACATCCAATCTCTAGCCAGATTTAATTCCATATAAATGTGTAAAATTCAGAATAAAACTAAAAACCTACAAAACTTGACAAATTAAAAATTGTGACGGGAAGGTTAGGAGGAAGTGAGAAAACAATAACATGGTGTTTGTTACAGAATGGACAAAACTGTGATTCAGAAATCCTGGGTTCCAGTGTGCTAGACATGTCCCTGAGCAAGGCACTGAACTCACTCTAGCTTCAATCTCTTTGTCCATAAAATAGGATATTGGCAACTGCCCACGCACCTTGTTCTCAAGGTTGTTCTCAAGGTTGTCAAGAAGGTCAAGTAAGATAATGAATGTGAAAGCTCGCTATCAACTGTAAAGCACTATGTAAATACAAACATTTACCTCTGTGGCAGACAGATGGACACTTATGGTTTCTACATCCTAAAGTCCGTCCACAGTTTTGATCACAAGGTGGACAGTTTCCAGGGCAACACTGAAGAGAAAGCAATATATAAAGAACAGGTAATTTGAAAACCCATGAATAATACGAATGTTATTACTAGCTACAGAACTTATGAAAAGCAAAAGAAATTTCATTTCACTATAAGAATGAAAGCATTCTTCTTTTTGAAGAATCAACATTCTTCTAGTAACTACACTGTTTTAAGAACTTATTTAGAAGTTTAAATAAAAAATGACCTAATTTAACAGAATCACACTAAATTTTCTTGAGCTTCAGTTATTCTATGACACAAAACATTTCCATTATATAATTTCATTTACTAGATATATCTATGCAGAGATTGATAACAATAACCAAAAACAAAGAATCTGATCAAATGCTATAGTCAATTCAGGCAATTAGTCTGGCTATTTTTAAAATGTAATTAAAATAAAATCAGCTCAATGTACAGATTAGTTTGGCAGTTGTTTTCAAACCCAGGATCAGACACTAAAGAAGAGGAGCAGAAACAGGCTACTTGCATCTGGCCTTATTTTGTCACACCCCTAATTCCCAATCTGTGAGAAATATAGCTACCTATGACCTGTCCTCATTTTTGATTCATGGACACAAGGCAACTACTGAAAGTATGTATTTTGACTATCCTTGACTTCTTATGTAGCCTAACTTTGGAAAGAAAATAAAGACTACAACTGTCTTAAAGAAACAGAGTTGTAGTTTAAGTAAGAATAAGTTTCAGTAAAACAAAGTAGCTCAAAAGAAAATATGCATTATTGAAAAGCAATTAAAAGTCAAAACAGGCTGGGCATAGTGGCTCATGCTTGTAATCCCAGCACTTTGGGAGGCCAAGGATACCTGAGCCCAGGAGTTTGAGACCAGCCTGGGTAACATGATGAGACCTCATCTCTACAATAAATAAAAAAAATTAGCCGGGCATGGTGGCACATGCCTGTAGCTCCAGCTACTCAGGAGGCTCAAGTGGAAGGATCATTTGAGCCCAGAAGGTCGAGGCTGCAATAGTCATGAATGTGCCACTGCACTCCAGCCTGGGCAATAGAGTGACTCTAACTAAAAAAAAAGAAAGTCAAAGCAGTTCACTCAATTAGACAAACATTTACAAAGTAAAGTAATACCATGGGCCTATCACTGTGCCAGTGGCAGGTGGGTCAAAATCATGTGGTCTATGACTTGAATAAGCTCACAGACACTTCTGTTTCTGGCCATGATTGAGCTGCAAGAACCAACCAGACAAAAGAAAAGAAGCTACAGTTGTCAGACATCAGATGATTAGACAGCACAGGATGGCAGTCCCCAGGCAAGGGGAAGCAAACAAGGTGAGCCTGCACTGGAGCCTGCTGAGACCAAAGCTTCTAAACTGCAGCACAGGAAGGAGGTCACAGGCAGTGGCTAGTAGCCTCACCAAGTTGGGCAGACAAAATCCATAGTTCAGAGAAACCAGTGTGGCTAGAATTTGTAGAGAGAGGGTGGGAGTACAGAGAAAGCTCTGGAGAACTCCAGAAGGGACCTCTCAGGTCTTTGGCTGAGTACTAGTCTGTACAAACACGAGGAAACTGCTCAAAACTTGAGAAAGAACCACCAGAAGGAGGAGGCAGAATAATTTCCAAAAAGTACACAAGGCTGGAAATGTCCTGTCCTCCTCACAGCCAGAGTAGAGGGACCTTCTCAGATACAGGCATTGAGTGCTTAGAAGAGTCAATGTTCAGCAGTAGGGCCAAACCAGTCCCAGACACAGGGGGCCTGGGCCACACCTAACAAAATCAAGCCTCTAAAGGACCAAGTGGTTTTAAAATAACTTAACTGTGTCCCAGAACAAAACTTAAAAAACATTTAAAGGAACACACACAAAAAAACCCAGTACCCAAAACGTTGTTTGCAATGTCTAGAACTCAACCAAAAATCATCCAGCAGGCCAGTAGGAAAATATAAAACAAAAGGAACAGAAAAATCAGTAAACAGAAACAGCCCAAAATGGGAGATGACAGAATTAGTAGGAAGGACATTCAAATAGACACGATAAGTACCCACCCTACATTCAAGATAAAGGAATGTGAGGGCATGCTGCAAAGGAGAAACACAGAAGATATAAAAAAAGATCTAAATCCAGCTTCTAGACGTGAAACATGCAACATCTGAGATGAAAAACACAGGATGGGATAAAAAGCACACCAGACAATACAGAAAAAAATTAGTGAACTTGAAGACAAAAATAAGCCACCTAAAACACAGAAATTAAGACTGAAAAAGAAACAGAGCATCAGTGAGCCTGGGATCTCAAGCACCATACTATATGTGTTATCACATTCTCAGAAGGTGACGGGTAGGGAAAAAAAACCTGAAGAAATAAAGATAAAAAATAAAGATGAAAACTATAAACTTACAGATCCAAGAAGCCCAACAAAAACCAAGCTAAAGAAACATGAAGATCATAATACCAAGGAATACCAGAAACAAATTGCTGAAAACTGGTAGTAAGGAGAAAGGTCTTAATAATCAGTCAGAAAAAAAAATAAAAAAGAATCAATAGGCACAGAGGAATAGAGAGAACAAACACAGCATACTACCTGTTGGAAGAACGCAAGCCAAAAAAGAATGCAGCAACACATTTAAAGTATGAAGGAAAAAACTGCCACACTAGATCTTACAATAAAAATATTTTTCCAAAATGAATACTAAAGAAAGGTATTTTCAAACATACCAAAGTTTAAACAACTCATGATCAGCACTACAAGAAATCCTTCAAGAAAGAAAATGAAACCAAATGAAAATGTGAATCTATACAAAAGGATGAAAAGCATCCAAAATTATGGTGATAAATACCAAAGACTACTTTTTCTTATTTTTTAAACTCTTTAAAAGAAAACTGTTTAAAGCAAAAATAAAAACAATGTACTTGCGGTTTATAAAACACATGAGTATAAAATATATAAAAATCATACATTTTAAGTCAGGAGAAAGAAAATAAAACATACTGCTGTAAGGTTTTTAAAGACTATAAAGCCTAAAAGTCTCCCCTGCCCTCTAAAAAGGGTGAAAAAGGAGATACAGCTAATAAGCAAATAAAGAAGATCAGTAGAATCACTGAAAATCAACACTCAAAGAGAAAACAGAAAAAGAGAAAAGAAATAGATGGGCAAATAGAAAATAAATAACAAGATGGCAGATTTAAATTCAGTCATGTTAGATCATGTTAAATGAAAAAGACTGGCTGGCTGAATGCAGTGGCTCACACCTGTAATCCCAACACTTTGGAAGGCCAAGGCGAGCAGACTGCTTAAGCCTAGGAGGTCGAGACCATCCTGAATAACATAGCAAAACCTTGTCTCTATAAAAAAAAAAAAAAAAAAAAAAACGTCAAAAAATTTAGCCGGGTGTAGTGGTGCGTGCCTATAGTCGCACCTATTTGGAAGGCGAAGGTGGAAGGATCGCCTGAGGTCAGGAGGTCAGGGCTGCGGTGAGATATGATCATGCCACTGAACTCCAGCCTGGGCAACAGAGTGAGTCTCCAATTCAAAAAATAAATAAAGTAAAAAATAAATGAAAAGGGCTAATACCTAAATTAAACAACAAAGATTGTCAACTTGGATAAAATAAAATAAAATCTAAATGCTGTCTATAGGAAATGTTTTTAAACAAAGATATGAATAGGTTAGAACTAAAAGAATGGGACTAAAGATACAACATGCTACCACTAAACAAAAGAAAGCTGAAATCACTATATTTCATTAGATTTAAGAACAAGGAATCTTACCAGAAACAGGGGGACCAGAAAGAACTAAAAACCCACAGACTCAACAAAATACTCCTTTCAACCTTAAACTAAACCAAGTGCCAGTAATAAGATATGAATAATCCAAGCTCTACTACCAAAAGAACTATCCCTTTCGCAAATGCTAATGATGCTTTTAAGTCAGGGATCAGAAACAGATCAAGAACCAAGCTGAAAGGATAATGCACAAGACAAGAAGTTCTTCTTCATTAAAACAACTGGTATGATTTCCCACTCACGCAAGTGATGATCAGGGCTAACCTAGAATAGTTTTTAATATTTTACATGGAAACTAAAGAATTTACCTGAACTTTTGGGGAACAAGTCAAGATAAAACTTATCATGGACCCCTCCAAAAAATCCTAGACAGCCTTTAAATCAGCATTTCCCAAGTTTATCACACATACCTTTCTCCGACACTGATGTTTCTGACAGTCACGCATCTTAACACACTTGGTTTCACAAAGGTAAGGCTTATGACATGGCATTCGTTTTGTATGCTTCCCACACCGGCAATGCTTTTCCACTTCCTGAGGAATCAAAGAAAAGCTATTAAAACTGATTTTTGTTAACTTTTTCCCCCATGTTGCAATTTCTATAACTACTAAAACATAAAGAACAAAAATGTATGAATGATTTTACCAAAAACAAATCTGAATTTCCTAAAATATGTTTAATCTTATTTTATAACAAAAAGGACTTCATATGAATGTTATTAAATTCAGTAGAAATTTGATACTAAGTAGTTAAAAAAAAAAAAAAACCTCACGTATACAAACCACTCACATCTAGTCACAACCATAACCTGTGCACATCTTGTCTCAGTAAAGGAAGAAAACTGAATTATCTAGTAAGCTAACTTGTTGCTCTGGTAAAACAGACCAAACTGAAACGACATACACAACTTTAAAGTCTCAAGATGAGGTACTGCTTCTTTCCATCATCACTAAGCCTAATTCAAGACTGAATGTCTTCTGGGAAAAAACAACCCCACTAGACTATAAAAAAGACAACATTCAAACTTTTACCAGGTAAAAACAAACAAAAGCTAACTTTTAGATTTGATTGCTAGAATACAGGCATACCATGGAAATATTGAGGGTTCAGCACCACACCACTGCAGCAATAAAGTAAACATCACAATAAAGTTAGTCACACAAAAATTTTTTTTTTTTTGAGTCAGAGTCTCAATCTGTGGCCCAGGCTGGAGAGCAGTGGCATGCTCATGGCCACCGCAGCCTCAAGCTACTGGGCTCAGGCAATCCTTCCACCTCAGCCTTCCAAGTAGCTGGAACCACAAGCATGTGCCACCACACTGGCTAATTTTTTTGATTTATTGTAGAAACGAGGTCTCACCAAGTTGCCCAGGCTCATCTCAAACCCCTGAGCTCAGGCAATCCTCTCTCTTCCACCTCCCAAAGTGCTGGGATTACAGGCGTGAGCCACCGCACCTAGCCAGTGCATATAAAAGTTATGTTTATACTATGGTCTACTAAGTATGCAACCCCATTATGCCTTTAAAAAAATGTACATACCTTAATTTTAAAATATTTTATTGCTAAAAATGCTAACAATCAACTGAGCCTTCAGTCAGTCATTATCTTTCTGCTGGTGGAGGGTCTTGCCTCGACTGTTCATAGCTACTTGCTGATCAGGATGGTAGATGCTAAAGGTGAGGTTGGCTGTGGTAATATATTAAAATAAGACAACAACAAAGTATGCCACATCAATTGACTCTTCCTTTCATGAATGATTTCTCCATAGCACATGATGCTATCTGATAGCATTTTGCCTACCAAAGAACTTCTTCCAAAACTGAAGTCAGTAAGTACTCTCAAATCCTCTGCCGCTTTATCAACTAAGTTTAAATAATACTCTAAATCCTAACCTTTTGCTGTCATTTCAATAACATTCACGGTATCTTCACCAGCTGTAGATTCCATTTTAAGAAGCCATTTTCTTTGTTCATCCATATGAAGCAACTTCTCTTCTGTTCAAGTTTTATGAGATTACAGTAATTCAGGCCCACCTTCAAACTCCACTTCTAGTTCTAGTTCTCTTGCTGTTTCTACCACATCTGCAGCAACTTCCTCCACTGAAGTCTTGAACCCCTCAAAGTCATCCACAAGGGTCGGAATCAACCTCTTCCAAACTCCAGTTCATGTTGGTATTCTGACCCACTCCACTGAAAAATGAATGTTCTGAATGGCATCTAGAATGGTGAATCCTTTCCAGAAGGTTTTCAATTTACTTTGCCCAGATCCATCAGAGGAATTATGATCTATGGCAGCTATGGTCTTACAAAATGTATTTCTTAAGTAGTAGACTTTCATAACAAATTTACACTTTTGTATGTAATAAGACTTGCAAGTTGCAATCACTCCTTGGCTCATGGGCTGCACAATGGATGTTGTTACCTGGCATGAAAATAGCATTAATCTCCTTGTACATCTCCATCAGAGCTTGCAGACCCGATGCACTGTCAATGAGTAGTATGTAAAAGGAACCTTTTTTATCAAGCAGTAGGTCTCAAAAGTGGGCTTTAAAAAAAAATCAGTAAAACATGCTATAAACAGATGTGCTGTTTTGACTTTTTTGTTCCATTTAGGGAGCACAGGCAGAGTAGACTTACCATAATTCTTAAGGACCATCCAATTTCCAGAATAGTACCTAAGCACTGGTATCAACTGAAGTCACCAGCTGCATTAGTCTCTAACAAGAGAGTCAGCCTGTCCTTTGAAGCTTCAAGGCCAGGCATTGACTTCTCTATTAAAGCCTCCAGCACCTTCTTCCAATGGAAAGCTGTTTCTTTTGCATTGAAGATCTGGTGTTTAACGTAGCCACCAATTTCCTTAGCTAGATCTTCTGGAAAACCTGCTGTAGCTTCTCCACTAGCACCTGCAGTTCATCCTACACTTTTATGTTATGAAGACAACTTCTTTCCTTAAACCTCATGAACCACCTCTGTTAGCTTCACACTTGTTTTCTGCAGCCTCTTCACCTTTCCCGGCCTTCAAAGAATTGAAGAGTTAGGGTCTTGCCCTGGATGAGACTTTGACTTAAAAGAACATTGTGGCTGGTTTGATCTTTTATTCAGACAACTAAAACTTTCTTCCTACCACTAATAAGGCTGATTCACTTCTTATAATGTATGTGTTCACTGGAGTAGCACTTTTAATTTCCTTCAAGAACTTTTCCTCTACATTCACAACTTGGCTAACTGGCTCAAAAGGTCTATTTGGGTTTTTGACATGCTTTTCTCACTAAGCTCCATCACTAAGCTCTGTCATTTCTAGCTTTTGGTTTAAAGTGAGAGACATGTATCTTCCTTTCCCTGAACATGTAGAGGCCACTGTAGGCTGACTTCAATAATGTTGTGTCTCAGGGAATAAGGAGGCCCAAGAAGGAGCAAGATGGGGAACACGACCAATCTGTGAAGTAGTCAGAACACACACGTTTACTGATGAGGTTTGGTGTCTCATAAGAGTGTGATCAGTGGTATCCCAATACGGTTACAATGGTCCCACCAAAGATCACTGATCATAGACGACCATAACAGATATAACAATAACGAAAAAGTTTGAAATATAGCAAGAATTACCAAAACATGACAGAGACGCAAAGTGAGTACATGAGGTTGGAAAAATAGTGCTAAAGGACTTGTTCTAGCCTGGGTGGTCACAAACCCTCAATCTGTAAAAAGCACAATAGAACACGGTATGCCTGTATTCACCTGCTTCTTACCATAGATATTAGGTCACTAAATTAGGATTAATCATGATATAGGTGTATATGAAAATAAATAAGAGAAAATAACCAGAGGACAACCTCATTTGGTATGCTACGACAGGCAGCTCTTAAGAGTAATGGTTACAGGAGATAACTAACTTGTCTACATGTTTCACAAGGACCTCGGTGACAACGCTGGGAACATCTGTGGATTCCACATTCAAGTACTTTGTCACAACTGTCTCCACAAGTTGGTACATCTTCCGTACAAGGCAAAGAAAACTCTAAAAACAGACAAAAAGTTAACGTTAGTAATAAGATACATTAATATTAGACACTAATAAAATGCCAAATTCTTTAGGCTCCCTAAAGAATGACAGCACTTTCAGACTAGAAATTTTTACATCCACATAATTATTTGGAAAAAACTAACTTTAATGAAAATAATCTCTAATATTTGTGAAGTTGATGATTTTTAAAAAGAAATTCGACACATGACAAGCTATCATCCTCGAGAAACACACTTTTTTGGGTTACTTGCTTCAGAAGTAGTTACCTAAAAAAATGAATAAGACTATATATACCTCTGTGAGAAATTTCCATAATATATAGATTTGTTTAAAAATCTGCTGCTGACCTCACAGGATGAAAAGAAAGCTATAGACTTTAAAATATGATAAAATTCGCCTTCAATATAAACATACTGTGACAAGCACTAGAAACAATCTTACACATAGGATGCTGTTATTTGTGGAGTGTCAAGGAAACCAACTCAAGACATAATCCTACTATGACTTTACCTCAAAGCTGCCCAAAATAAGTCCACCAACAACCTATTACACAATCATGACAACAGCAAAGCTTTCTCCACTATCAATAACCTGCCCTGCATGGTACCTTTGTTACAATGGATAAGCTTACCTTGATACTCCATAACCACCCAAAGATTACAGTTACTATTAGGGTTCCCTCTTGGTGTTGTACATCTACTGGGCTGGACAGATAATAACATGCACATGCCATCACAGCATCATACCAAGCAGTGTCACGGCCCTAAAATCTCATGCCTCACATACTCTCCTCTCCCTCCCCATCCCCAGCACCCACTGATCGTTTTACTGCTCCACAGATTTGACTCTTCCAGAATGTCATGTATTTGCAGTCCTGTAATACATAGCTTTTTCAGACTTTTAGTGATATGCATTTGAGATTCCTAAAGGATGTCTTTTGGCTGTCTTTTCATGTCTTGATAATTCATTTCCTTTAAAAAAAAAAAAAGTCTTACTTGATTTCTGACAGGGACAGAACCTTTTCCCAGAGCGAGGACATTCTCCACAAGCACCAACATGGCAAACTTTCTCGCATGTGTGATTACCACATGGCAGTGTTTTCCCACATACCTAAATAAACAACAAGCACTAGTGAAGGATTTAAGACTTTATATGAAACATAATCCATCTTTTATCACAAACAAAATTGTTCCTATTACTATGCTTTACATCTCATACATAAGACCTACATACATATACATACAGGTGTCATATGTATGTATGTATACATACACACATACACATATATACTTACATGCACATACATAGGTAGACACTCTTATTTCCTATTCACCAAAAAATATTTTTAAAATATAAGAAAGGAAAAAACACATACAGCTTCATATAGCCATCCACCACAGATTTCCAAGTAGCATTAAAACCATGCCACTTCTAGGACTAGCAACTCTCACATTGGTCCTGTTTCCTCAACAAGATGAACTCAAGAGGTGGTGAGGCTGCTGGTCGAGAAGGGGAGAGAGAGAAAGGGGAAAGAGCTAAAAGAAGAGAGCGAAAAGGCACTGAATCCAAAGGCCTACACACCACTGCTACTTTGAAAACAAATTTTCCTCCCAAAATGAAGATGACATTGAACTGAAAAGCAGTTTCCTAACACATGACATAATTTGTCAGAGTTGCTATCCTTCCTCCCCTCTCCTCCAGCGACCTAATTACATTGCTGCCCTCCTGGCAGTCATGCTGTGCATTCCTCGCCACCCACCCTCATATGCATGGGCACATACTTGATCACAGTGCCACAGAGGACTCGCACAACTTCTTTCAGCCATCTTTCTGCCACAGACACACTTCTGTCTACTGACTCTGGGACAGGGCGGACAGCTTCCTAAAACCAGAATGATAAATTAGCACAGAAACACTGCAAGACCAACAAAGACTGCTCTGACTTTTGTTCAAAGCCAGAACACCCAACAGGCCTGGCCTTTCACCTGCGTGACAGGGATTTTCACACTTGTGCTGCCCACAGAGCAACTTCTGTCCACATGGCAGCTGGCAGGACCACTCCTTGGCACTGCACCTCCGAGGGATAGGCTTTGCCTTCTTACAGTAACAAGTGATTGTGACCATCTTTGGACAAGGAGGACAGGGACCTAGAATCCAAGGAAAGAAAAAAATAATCTGAAGTCAGAAACTAAAACATTCCATTCCTACAGCTATCAATCATTTCCAGAGCTTTACTGATACTTTAAAAGGCATTCCCCTTCAATATTTTCTCATGGCAAACAACTTCTGAATTCAACTTCTGCAGTATTTTTGTCTCAAGGTAAGAAGAAATAATTGTCTGCAAACAATTTCAAATGTAACATATATAACTCACCTGGATGACAGAGGAGTAAACACTTATGACCACAAGGAGGCCTAAATTCTCTCTCACAAACTTGGCCGCAGGAATGAGGCACCAGCCATGGGTCTAAAGGCGGATCTTCCACTTTTCCACAGTAGCAATAGTACCTGCTAGGGGTTTCAGATCGTTTGTATTCAAACCTACATTTTGGACTACAAAAAAAAAAAAAGAAATTATTAGTTAATTTCAAGTCTAAAAGAAGCACGAGACAAGAACATCCTGTTCAATTCATTTTAAGTTAAGAGACTCTGTTCCATCTTTACATTAGTAAGAAAGACATGATCTTATTAAAACAGCTCTGTACAATATGATTTCCTGATGTGATAGAACTGTTCTATACTGCACTGTCCAATATGTAGCCATCAGCCACATCTGGCGAGTGAGTGCTTGAAATATGGCTAATGCTTATAACTGAGGAAGGAACAGAATTTTTTACTTTATAATTTATTCAAAATTTAAAAAGCCACATGTGGCTAGTTGACAAACCTTAAACAGCACATATCTAGAATACAGCTACACAAGAGAATGCATGTTAGCTTTCCATTAAATACCTGAACTCTATTCTTGAGCAAATCACCTAGATTTTCATAAAGCTCAATTTCTTAAAAGTTTGGTTGTATTTGGTTCATATTAGCAACAGTAAACAGAAGAAAGAAGTTGGGTTATGGGTAGGTAACATAGCATGAAACATGACTACAATCTAGAATCAAAGGGGAACAAACTTGAAAGTAAATAAAGAATTTCATGATTCTCAATATCTAACACAAAATAGATACAATTCAAATGTACCTAAGTCAAAGAATAGTACAAGCATTGTGTCACATTCTATACTAAGGCAGAAAAGAATTTAACCTATAACATTAAAATAAATACATTTGGTAGTAGAAGTGTCCGCCTTCAGCTCTATCAAATATTCACTTGTAGATTAACACAGATTCCTTCTTTCTTAAAAGATGCTTTACCATGCCCCAGACAATGAGTATCATTAATATATTACACTAGAAGTTTCACATCATCATTTAAATTTCTCTTGTATCGTTTACAAGATATTTTTACTGTCATGAAAACATGTTCTGTTTCCAAATAAATGTTGCAAAATATTCAAAATAAACAAAAGATATTTGTTCTTGTAGTTAAAAATCAAAAACAAAATACCATGTCTCATCTGGAATAACCGGCATTTTGTTGGAAGAGTTGAACTTTCCCTCACTAAAAGGAAAATGGCTACATTCCTTTAAGCCAGTAGAGAGGGGGACATGCACTGTGATAATGCTGACATGGATGGCCAACAGGCAGCTCACACACTGCCCAGCAGCACTAAGACTCAACTGGCCCACTGAGGATAATATGCAGGAGTTTTATTAAAGTAACGGGATGCCTATAGTAAATGTTATTTTGCTCTATCTTGTTCATAAACAAGCAATATCTTAGTAGAAACATGTATTTTTAATTGATTTCTAAAAACTAATTTAAAATCATTAACATTTACCAAGTTTTAACTCCATCCCAGAGGGGACAAATTGAGTTCTCAACCAAAATAGTCGCTTATTTTCCTTCTTAAAAAATATGAAACATGCCAAACGTGGTGGCTCACATCTGTAATCCCAGCACTTTGGAAGGCCAAGGCAAGAAGACTGTCTGAGCCCAGGAGTTTAAGACCAGCCTGGGCAATTTAGTGAGACCTTGTCTCTACAATAAATAAAAAAAATCAGCCGAGCATGATGGCATTCACCTGTAGTTCCAGCTACTTGGAAGGCTGAAGCAGAAGGATCGCCTGAGCCCAGCAGGTTGAGGTTGCAGTAGCCACAAGAGTGCCACTGCACTCCAGCCTTGGCAAGTGAAAATCCTACTCAAAAAAAAACAAAAAAAGAAAAAGAAAAAGAAATATAGAGGTTTGGTGCAGTGACTCATGTCTGTAATCCCAGCATTTTAGGAACCTGAGGCAGGAGAACTGCTTAAACCCAAGAGTTCAGCCTGGAAAACGTAGCAAGACCTTGTCTCTACAAAAAAAAAAAAATCAAAAACTTAGCAGAGAGTGGTGGTGTGCACCTGTAGTCCCAGCAAATCAGAAGGCTGAGGAGGAAGGATCACCTGAGCCCAGAAGTCTGAGACTGCAGTAAGCCAGAATCTAAAGCAAGAGAGAGAAAGAAATATGGAATGCAAAGGATAATGCACAGTTGATTAAATTTGTTAATTTTTAGATTTAGGAAAAAAGTAACCTTTCATTAATTTTTCAACTATTATCTTTCCTCCCCTATGGCAAAATGACTACTTAAAATAGTAGTGAGTAGGGCAAGAGTGACAAAAAGTACATGAGGTTCAAATTTCTAAAACTAGTAAGTCAAAATATCTGGTTCAATCCTGTACCTATTAAACACTACAATTCCTCCACCACAAATAATATTTGTAGCAAAACAAACATAGACTTTGAAATTTTAAACCACTTCAAAAAAGAGCATATTCAGTTAAAAGAAATCAATAATATTTCTAAAAGCAGGATCATAAGACAGAACTCCAGTGGAAGAATAGAAAAAGCCCTGAGCTTAGAAATAATGAACCCCAGGTTTCGAATCCTGACTCCACCAATTAAGACTAAGAAAAGGCTGAACACATGGCTTCCCTTCCAATTAACTTCAATATTTTCGTTGGTGACGGGGGAATAAAATCTCTTACAAATGACTGAGAATTATTTTCACAAATTTTAAAAAAGTAACTAGAATGTCTAAAATGTTTTTAAAAACTATGCTATCACAATATTACAGAAATATCATGTGTAATAAGGAGAGTTCTGATGTGGACTTAGGTTTCCTGAGGCCTGAATCTTACACAATTTAGGGGCCTCAGTTGAGAAAACGAATACAAAATTATAACCATAAAATTAGTTACAAAAGGTACCAAATGTGAACTCACACAGCCCCTGAAGCTTAGGTTTCACTCCCTTGACAGTAAATCTACCCTCTGAGTTGCCATTATGGATACATTTTTTATTGTCTTTATTTAGCAGAGATATAAAATTTCTACTTCCCACTCTTTCTGGAAATATAATAGACGTTCGAGATCAAATAATCATAACAACAAGCCAAATAAATATAAAATAAATGTAGAAAAATGAAAGGCATTGAATAATATACACCTGCAGTTTTGAGATTTCAGAGAATAAAACTGGGAAGCCTATAATCAAAATACATATGTGACAGTCTTGTACAGTGGGATAATAATGTTTACTGATAGGAACTCTAAAGACCAGAATTATGAAAGAATCTCGGTCCTAAAGAAAAGAAATGAATGTCCTTTCAAAGGATAATTAAGGCAATGTTTTGAAAAGGAAAAAATAAAGACTGAATGATATTCTGGTTATTGAGAGGATTAATAGTTATACAAATTGAAACAAAAAAAGTCATTATCAAAGGTCCACATCTTCACAAACCAAATGACTAACTGAAGTCCCAACACAGATACTGAAACTGCCAATAAAGCAATTTATGACCTGAATGTTCATTTATTCCACAATTTAATAAGCCAACTAATTAGAAAAAGTTACCAAGGCCAGGGATAATCTCTCTTTCCAAAATCATCATCTGTCAGAGAAGATACAAGAAACTGGCTGTCTTTAGCCCACTTCTGGATACAGGGCATGTGAAATATACAGAAACATCCTGAACAGCTCCAAACCTAAGGCAAAAGGACCAGAAATTGACAGGCATTCAAAGGTTTTTCTTTGTTAATTCCACAACACTTTAAAACCTGCTAGTATAACAGAAGAAACATTATTTACAAAAATGTATTTAAATGTAGAACACTTTAAAGGAAAATATTATTAATTACCCAGATTCATTCAGCTAGAATAACTACTGCGAACATTCGGGACAGTCTCCAAATTTATACAAATACATATTTCATACTATTTTTAATAAAATGAGGTCATACTGTACTGACTAAAATCTAACTTTATGGTCTTTTTTAAAAACACAGTATAAGCATTTACTGTTATCAAATATGTTCATACGACATGCTACTTATGGCTGTAATTTACATCATGTAGACTTATGTATTAAATTTAACAAATTTTCTGTTAAATGGATATTTCCAATTATAAATATCACTACAAAATAAAATTAACATACAAGGGGAGGGCCCCAAAAACATTATTTTTTGGAGGGCAGGCTTCCTTCACTAGGTAAGTGCTCTAAGAACCCATCAGCTAGCATTGTTGTGAGAAGCTACATTTGGCTTCAGTGATTTTTTTGGGGGGGGCGATTCTTCCAATGTGTTTGCCTGTTTCACGATGGGTCATTTGCAAGCGTACTTGCACACACCGCACTGAGTGCTCAGCAGTTTTTGACCAAAAACGACATGATCCCTATGCCCCATCCTCCCTATTCACCAGATCTCACCCCAAGCAACATTTTTTGTTTCCCCAGATGAAAAAAAGTCCTCAATGAGAAACGTTAAACAGATGTGGAAGAGTTGAAACAAGAAATGACAGAAGTACTAAAAGGCATCAAAATTGACAAGCTCAAAAACTGTTTTGAGCAGTAGAAAAAGTGTCTCAGTAGGTGTACTACACCAAACCGAGAGACTTTGAAGGTGATTGAAGTTTAAACATGAAAGAATAAATACACAATTTTTTATAAATAAAGTCCAGGTTTTTGGGGTCCCCCTCCTGAATAACTCTACATAACAATCTTATTATAGAAAACCTATCAGTTTAGCACTTAACAGTGCTAAATTCTAAAAATCAGGTAAGCGAAAAGCAAGAATATATACAATGTAAAAGCCTAAGGGACAGTACTAAATTAATTTTTGGAATCTGCCAACACTTTGATTTAATTGATAAAATCAGTTCTCCTTTATTTGTAACATTTAAGCCTGTTTGATAAAATCAGTATTAAACAGTCAACTTCTTAGTCTGGGTGACCCCTAAAGCAGTACTCTTCTTAGTTTGAGTGACCCCCTAAAGAGTTCAGATGCATTTCCAAGAAATTTCTGACACACTCTACGTGACCAACTCATTTCCTCTAGCCTGATTTTTCTTTTCTAGGTAGTGCTACTACAGCAGGGAATTACTCTGAGGCCTCAAAGTTGACTCCATCACATTCAGCCATCACTGCTCTTTAACTGCATCACTAGGCCTTTGTAACTTGCGTATAGATACCTTCAGCACAGGTCATAGTTCCTCCAGGGCATGGTTAAATTTTCAAAAGCTCCCTTTCCCCAATGACCCTCAGCACTTTCCATGAAGCCTTCAACACAGGAGATGCTGACTAATAAAACTGTGTGACTGCCAAGTTCTACTTCCTGGAAGACAGGGACCACATCTACTTTTTCTTTAAATCCATTGAAAGTAATGAAATATAACACATTTTAACATTTCATATTTGTGGGAATCTCTAAAGTAAAGATGTTAAAAACACTTTATCAAATTGACATTTGCATTACAGCTGAAGGCACTTACGTTACATTAACAGTACTAAAAAATATTAGATGCTCATTTAAATGTAATTTTTTATTTTATTATTTTTATTTTTATTTTTATTTTTTTTGAGTTGGAGTCTCACTGTGTTGCCCAGACTGAAGTGCAGTGGCCGCTTCCGGCCACCGCAGCCTTGACCTGCTGGGCTCCAGCGATCCTTCCTCCTCAGCTTCCGAGTAGCCAGAATTACAGGCATGCACTACCACGCCCGGTTGATTTTTTGATTTATTGTAGAGATGAGGTCTCGCTGCCCAGGCGGGTCTCAAACCTGCAGGTTCAGGCAATCCACTCACCTCAGCCTCCCAAAGGCGCAGGATTACAGGCTGAGCCACCGAGCCTGGCTAGATGTAATTTTTTAACTTAAAGATTTACAAAATGAAGATCAACTCATATACAAAATCTTCAAATTTTTAAACAAAAGTAAGCAAAAGAATAATGAATGGCTGAGCATGGTAACTGCAAGATAAGATATTTTGGGATGATACATTAATACGGATAAGGAGAAAAACTTACTGCTTGGTTTCTCTTCACTGACGCAATACAAATTAAGCAAGTCATAGCCCCTGCTTGAAAAGCTTCATTTACATACTGTTTTGTTCGCTCCAGTTCACATGAATCTCCATCTTAAAATTTAAAAGTGGGAAATCTTATGTTAACAACTGAAAAAAACACAAACTCACTAATAATACACATTATGAGAGAACTGTCTAGCAGTATCAATTGCTCAAAATATAGCTGAAAAACAAGAAGTTACAAAAAAAGTAACCAGTGAGCCGTCAAGAGGTAAGAAAGTCCATGCATTAAATCCTATACTCATGGTTCAAAACAGTACCTCACCTCTCTCAGTGTGGACTTGCTTTTTTACTGTTACAGGCCCTAACAAAGCTGGGGAGGCAGAGCCATGGGCAAAAACAGCAAGGTGAAAAAAAACAGGAAAAGCATAAGCAAAAAGCAAAGTGTGGAAGGAACCGAAAGCTCAAAACTAAGCAGAGCCATTTAGCATAAATATAAAGGATGTGTGTGCGTGCGTGCGTGTGTGTAGTACTTAGTTTATTCTTAATAAAAATTTGTTAAATACAAAGACCCTAGAGTCATTACAGCATAATAACCACATTTCATTAGAGTAAATTCACTATTTCTGCTTGAAAAGGAGCGTAAGCTTTGAAAAAAAAATTACCACACGGTATTTTAATTATTAAGCAGTTATTTGCTAGATATTGTACTCATATTTCAATAGGATTAAATGAGATATTATTACCAATTTACAGATGAGAAAACTGAGGCACACAACAATTAAGTAGCATCAGTTTGTCTACAAAGTGAGCCTTCTAAACTCCCATGCTATGTTGTAGTGATGGGTTACTGCAGGAATGTCAAAACAGAAAGAGCAAAACAAAAAAATGAAAGACACAAAAAGTACCCTAATACACAAATGACACTAAAAGGGCAGGAATCTGAGTCACTTTAGTATAGAAAAAATAAGCCTACTTCCTTTAGAACAACAAAGATTGCTCAACAGAGACTGACTGAAGTCTTCAAAAATTACACTAGTAGCATAAAACAGCCGGGCACAGACGCTCACATCTGTAATCCTAACATTTTGGGAAGCCAAGGCAGGAGGATTGCTTGAGGCCAGCCTGGACAACATAGCAAGAGCTCATCTCTACAAAAATATTAAAAAATTGGCTGGACATGGTGGCATGCACCTATAGTTCCAGTTACTTGGGAGGCTACCACCTCAGCCTTCCAAGTAGACAGAACTACAGGTGCACACTACCATACCCTAATTTTTTATATATTGTAGAAATACAGTCTCACCATGTTGCCCAGGCTGGTCTCAAGCCTACAGGCTCAGGCAATCCTCTCGCCTCAGCCTCCCAAAGTCCAAAGTGCTGGGATCATAGCTTTGAACCACTGCACCCGGCCAAGGTTTACTTTTAAAAGTTGATATTTACGTCTGGATCCGGAAGTAAGAGAGCTGTGTCTAGGCCGGGTGCGGTGGCTCATGCCTATAATCCCAGCACCTTGGGAGACTGAGGTGAGAGGATTGCCTGAGCATGCGGGTTCGAGATCAGCCCTGGGCAACTCGGAGAGACCTCATCTCTACAATAAATCCTGGACTTGAGTCCAGGAGTTCAAGGCTGCAGTGAACTATGATGCTGACACTGCACTCCAGCCTAGACCCTGTCTCTTCAGGAGAAAAAAAAAAAATAAGTTATCATATGTACAGGACTTACTATGACAATAACCTGGTTCAAACCAAAACTTAAGTTGTCAAAAAGAAAAAGTAAATAAAAAGGACACTTGGATAATTCCTTAATTTCCAAAATCATCTAAGTAAAAACAGTACTTACAAAAGCTTGTCCTACCATCATATAAATATGACTTAGGATATTAAACAAAATACATGTAAAAGCACTCTCAAACTATAAATTATTATAAAATTACTAGAGAAAGTTGCTTTATTTTAAATAAGCATTAAAGTCTTAAAAATATCCTTAGGAGTAGAATTCTTAACTATATTGCATATTTAGTTTGCTGTTCAACACAGCTGGCTTTAACAAATATATTTAAATTTCATCTAATTCAACATCTAACTCTTAGAAAATGCAATTGAAGAACAAGATAGAATAGGCTTTTACAAAATAAAGCCTAACCTTATCATTACAAAATTTTTCGAAGATGTCTTTGAAACGTGTACTAAAGTCTGGCTGCAACAATAAAGTACACTGCCCGGCCCGGCACATCATAGTGGACAGCATGGCACCTGAAGTCAGGCATTTTAAAAGATCAGTCTGGCAACGTAAGAAAAATAAGTTTGCAGAGGCCAAGCCTGGAAACAGAAAGTACCAGTCAAGAAACAGCAGATGAAGCAAAAGATGACCTTGAGCAAGTGACCTAGTGTGTCTCAGTTTTTTCAGTTGTAAAATTAGCATTAACAGTGAACTGCCTCATAGATATCGTGTGGATTTAATTCACATTTAAACAGCTGTAAAGGCTTGAACTAGGGAGAGGAAGGATAGATTTAATAAGTTTAGTAAGTACAGCTTAAGAGGGCTTGGTGATGATGAGATTTACTTTTTTGTGTTTTTTTTTTTTTTTTGAGTTGGAGTCTCCGTCACCCATGCTAGAGAGCAGTGGCATGCTCACGGCCAACCCACTGTCGACCTGCTGGGCTCCACTGATCCTTCTGCCTCAGCTTTCCAAGTGGCCAGAACTACAGGTGCACACTACCATGCCCTAATTTTTTTATATATTGTAGAGACAAGGTCTCACCATGTTGCTCAGGCTGCTCTCAAACTCATGGGCTCAGACAATCCTCGCCTCGGCCTCCCAAAGTCCAAAGTGCTGGGATTACAGGTTTGAGCCACCGCAGCTAGCCGAGATCTACTTTTAAAAGGTGATATTTACATCTGGATCTGGAAGTAAGAGTGCTGTGTCTAGGCCGGGTGCAGTGGCTCACGCCTATAATCCCAGCACTTTGGGAGATGGAGATGAGAGGATTGCCTGAGGCCACAGGTTTGAGACCAGCCCTGGGCAACTTGGAGAGACCTCATCTCTATAATAAATCAAAAAATTAGCCAGGCGTGGTGGCATGTGCCTGTAGTTCCAGCTACTTGGAAGACTGGGGTGGAAAGATTGCCTGAGCCCAGCAGGTTGAGGCTGCGGTGGCTGGGAGTGTGCCAATGCTCTCCATCCTGGGTGACAGAGTGAGACTCGTTGTCAAAAAAAAAAACAACAAAAAGCGCAGTGTCTGATGTACTGTCTGACATAGGCAGGGGAGCAGGACTGAGCAACATGTGTGATACCTCTGCTCTCTGGCTTAGGTGGGTGATGGGGAAAACTGTAGTGCTACTTACTAAGTCAAAGAACACAAATGAATAAATAAGTCATCTTTCAACATAAGCTTGATGTCCACAGACCAGCAATACAGAGATACTCATCGGGAAGCTGGCTGTGCAAGCCTGAAATTTAAGAGAAGCATCACAAAAATGCAAAGGCTGTGCTCAGATGAAAATGTACTCCTTTGGTATGGTCTTGGTGTTCAAGTCACTAAGTGATGTAGGTAGCATTCTGTTACCCTGGCATCTATGTTCTTTTTTTTTCTTCTTCTTCTTCCAGGAGTTCTGGTTCACAAGGAGCATCTATGATCTTAAATCAAGTGTTCATATTTCCCTCCTTTCGGAGAGGCAAAGTGTACAACCCAAAGGAATGAGAATCAAATAGTAATGGATTTGACACAAAACAGCATAAGAAAAATTACCATAACAATGTAAGATGAACTCTAGATTAAAAATTAATACAACCTACAAATGACACATATTTTCTAATTACTAGACTGAGTTACATTAATGTAATCCTATTTGAAAGTATAGTGTGCCACTAGAATGATTTAAGTGAGGTCCTCTGGAAACAGGAAACATCTAAAAATTATTTTCTATGAAGTCCTCTAGAAGCGAGACACCCTCTAACTTGAAGTAATTTTTTCTTGTTGTTTTTTTTTTGACTTGGGAGTCTCACTCTGTCGCCCAGACTGGAGTGCAGTGGCCGCTCTCGGCTACCGCAGCCTCGACCTGCTGGGTTCCGGCAATCCTTCCGCCTCAGCATTCCAAGTAGCCGGAATTACAGGTGCACGCTACCACGCCCGGCTGATTTTTTTTGATTTATTGTAGAGATGAGGTCTCGCTGCCCAAGCGGGTCTCGAATTTGCGGGCTCAGGCAATCCACTCACCTCAGCCTCCCAAAGGCACAGGATTACAGGCTGAGCCACCAAGTCCAGCTTGAAGTAATTTTTTAATCAGTTTTTACCTGGCTGAGATAGACTTCTTCATCTTAACTCCTCAGCAGACATGGTAAGTTCTTTAGAAACCTACTAGACAATTTGACCTATCCTCATGATCCCAATACTCAGGCAACCATCTAGTCGCCAAGGTTACCGGTGGACAGGGATTCATGCTGATGGGAAGAATCGTGCTGTTCAAGACTTGAGTGACTCTCCTGCTGGTGAACGGCCTCGACCCTAACTTATACTCAAACTCTGCTGCTCTTCTGACTCTGTCATACTCCAATCCTGAATCCTGACATCACTGATCCTATACTTGAGAAATAACCATATCATAAGTAAGGAAGAGTAGACTGAATGCTCCTTTTTCACATAAAAGAGTAAAAGAAAGCTTAAGAAACAGATACATTTTTTAAAAGACAAGAAAGAAGCTATTGCAGAAAATTTCTAATAAACAAGCCACAAAATACATTAAGCATTACAACAGACACATATCAGACTATATAACAGGCACTACTGTAAGCACTATAGCACTTACACATAATGACCCATTTCATCCTGACTATTCTATTTACTATCATTATGCCCATTTTGCAAAAGAAGAAATCAAGTCACTAAGAGTTAAATAACATGTCGAGCATCATAAAGCCTTGATAACAGAGCCAAGATTCAAACCTTGGCAGTCTGGCTTGAGAGTTCATGTTCGTAACCACTACCGTGCTGCTTTTCCCCATAAATAAGTATAAGAGCAGCAATCTAATCTCAGAATTACTCTGCTTTTACAGAGAAAATGCTATCAGCCCAGTAATGACCCTAAAACTAAGTAAACTAGATGAAACCCAGCTCTGTTAGTTACTGATCAAGTAATTCTAGGAAAATCCCTTCTCTTCTGTAGAATTGTTTCTTAGAAAATTTATAAGGTTTTTCTCTGGTTTGAATAGAATATTAAATTTTTTAAAAGATCCAATAAGAGAATAAACACTTATTACTAAAATAAAGATCTGTAGACAATATGGCATATCTCTACAAATATATCAAGAAATGCCCATATTACCTGCAAGAATATTTCTAATAATGACTTTAAAGTCTAAATTTTAGGAATGCTTACATTGAAAATAATCTATAATCTATTTTTACACTTAATACTAAGTGGTATACAGCAATGACACTTTGGTCCTTTCTCACATAAACAAATGTGGTTTTAAGAGCACCCCAGGTATATAAAACAATAGATAATGTGAATGTAAATGTCAAACCCAAGGGGATTTACTTTTTTTTAAAAAGTATGGCTGGGCACAATGGCTCACACCTATAATCTTAACTTGGAAGCCAGGGCAGGAGAATCACTTGAAGCCCCAGGAGTTCAAGACCACCCTGGGCAATGTAGTGAGACTCCCATCTCTAAAAAATTTTCAACTTAGCCAGGCCAGGCATGGTGGCTCACGCCTGTAATTCCAGCACTTTGGGAGGCAGGAGTGGGAGGACTGCTTGAGACCAGGAAAGCGAGACCCAGCCTAGGAAACACAGCCAAATCCTGTTTGTACAAAAAATAAAAAAAATTAGCAGGGTATGGTAGTGTATGACTGTAGGCCCAGCTTCTCGGGGACTGATACAGGAAGAGGACCTGAGCTCAGGAGTTGGAAAATGCGGTAAGCCGTGATCGTGTCACACTCCAGTCTGGGTGAGAGAGTGATACCTTGACAAAAACAAAACTAAACTAAACTAAAACTTAGCTTCAACTACTTGCAAGGCTGAAGGATCACCTGACCTGAGGAGGTCAAGGCTGCAGTGAGCCATGTTTGTACCACTGAACAACAGAGCAAAATCCTTGTCTTAATAAATAAATAAATATCAGATGTTGTGAATAAAACATGAAATAGAAAACATAGTTAAAAAATGAAATAGCCTTCAAGATACATTTAACATAATTAAAAGGAGGAAACCAATGAAGAACAGATTGAAGAGGGTACACAGAGTCCTCTAGCCCAGTCAAATCACAATCAGGAAGAACTCGCCCTGTCTCATCTCAGAAGCTCTGGCAGCCCCTCTGAGCAGTCATGTGAAACGCCAGTTAAACTCGCCGAAGGCCTCTGAGGGCTTTCCAGACACTGTACAGAAGAATCAGTGTCACCCAATGTTGGGAGCCGGCCACGGAGGCCCACTGAGCGTTAGGGATCAGGGAGGGCCGTGGACCTCGAGACCGCTAGGACGTGTTCGAGAGCCGTAGACCCCATTTTCCTCCCCCTTTTGCCATGCAGCACAAGAACAACCTAAAGGAACTCTGCTGGCCTAAGCTGAAGACTCTGTGACTGTGACAGGCATAGCTGACTCTAGAAACCCATTGTTCCTGTTTCCCATAAACTGTGGTTTCGGCCTAGGTATTAGATATAATTCAAATTCAGGTCACATTTGGGAGCCTTTTATACAGTACAAGCTTCTTTATAAGATTTAAAAGAATATTTATAGAATTAGTATATACTTAGGGAGAGCTGTTTGCAGCTTTTCAATGGTGAAGATGATTTTCGAGAGTGGCCCAGCACAGAGTTTGGGCTGGGCCACATTCCTGAGAGCCCAGCATGTACTTTGGACTGGGCTGCATTCTTTTGGGCCGGCTTTAGCTACAGTTAGTGTAAGGTCTCTTTTCTACCTATTATAGAAATTGAATTTATTTTATTCATAGAAGGTATTGTAGAATAGGTCATGCTACAAATCATGTTAGTTCATGCATAATCAATCATAATATTTTAGGTTTAATAAGAATATAGTTAACTTTAAGAATTTTCATCGTCTCCACTTTCTACTATCGAAGTTTTGCCTTAGTACATTTACAATTTACATTTAGGTTTTAGAAGCTTTGCTGCTGCTAATCAACTTTATATATTAGAATTAAGAATTGGAAAACTTTCATAGAAATTAGGATAGACATATAAGACTTTGGAATAGCCATTTTGTTAAGAGATTATAGTCTATTGTTCCAAAAGATGGCCCACCGTGGACCTTGGACTGGGCCACATCCTGTGGGGCCCAGTGTGATCTTTGGACTGGGCCACATTCTTTAGGAAATTGGCTTAAGCTATAATTAAGAGCTTCTGTAGCATTGTTTAAGTGGTAGAGTTTAATTTAGTCGTCATGGGTATTGAGTGAGCTTTAGAAGTTATTGATTATCAGAACATCATTAGACTAGTAAGGATTGTTACAGTGCTTTTGTAGAACATTAACTAGCAAAGGGAACAATGAGACAATCTTGGGGTTTGTTCCTCCTCACACCTAAGCATCTGGTGGGTGGGGGATGCCCCCCCCCGGCACCTGGCTTTGTGTTCACATGAAAGACTTGTGAGACTGCCTGTGTAAAATTTGGGGATAAATACCTCCTGTAACTTTCAATAAACGGCTTCTGCTCATTTCACTGAACAGTTGCCCACTTTCTTTCTTTCTCTTTCTTCCTCTTTATATCTATCCTTCCATCTTTCTTTCTTTTAATATCTATCCCTACAGATTCGCCGACGCCACCACATCTTCCAAGGGACTCCCCAAAACTTGCAGGGGCTGGCCCCCCGCAACCCAACATGTAACTCAATCACCAAAGCATACAAAAATTCAACTCCATAACACAAAATGCTCAGTCTTACGTCGTAAAAACTATTCCACGTAGAATAAAGGTGTTTCCAAAAACTGAGAAATACAGCTTCACTGATATCAAAAGTCAAAAATTAAGATAACAGTACCTGTTTGAGTAGTATACGTTATGAATGTATTAGCAACTATTCTTCCTCGTTTTCCTTCAAAGTCCTCATCCCCTTCCTCTTCAGAGGAAGAGCTGAAGTGTTCTTCAATGAGTTTTTTGGCTGCAGCTTGATTAGCCTTCTTGATTTCATCAAATTTCTTTTGAGACATTAGCTCTGTTTAAAAGAAAAAAGTTTCATTTCTGCCAAACAATCTCTCAAAGGTAAGGCATGATGTGCTAATATATCACATTTAAACATGCACTTGGCAGTCAGTTTTGGAGCATTCTAGCTTATAATCCATGAGAAAGAGTATTGTCACATTATTTGACACACAACTAAAGAGGAATACTACAACAAAAACCTTCACTTTTGTGGCCCGGGTACGGTGGCTCATGCCTGTAATTTCAGCAGGCTGAGGCAGAGGCTGAGGCAGAAGGATTGCTTGAGCCCAGGAGTTCAAGACCAACCTGGGCAACATAGTGAGACCTCAACGCTACAAAATTTTTTTTTTTAATTTAGCCAGTAACGGTGGCATAGCTTAGCTTCTTGGCTGAGGCGGGAGGATAGCCTGAGCCCAGGAGGCATAGCTTAGCTTCTTGGCTGAGGCGGGAGGATCGCCTGAGCACAGGAGGTCGAGGCTGCGGTGAGCTGTGATTGTGCCACTGCCCTCCAGCCTGGGTGGCAGAATGAGATCCCAAGTGGGGAAAAAAAGAAAGAAAAAAAAAATCATTCACTGTTATAAAGTATCAATTAACAAGTCAAAAAAAATTATAAAAGTAGAATAAATGTCTCAAACCTCAAAAAGGATGAACAGAAATTGAAATGAGATTTTTAAAAACACATTTACAGTGACTTCTAAGAGGCAGGGACCGTGCCCATCGTGAGCGTAGGAGAATCAGAAAATGGGAACTTCACAGCCCACCCACCGGAGTTGGCAGAGACAGTACCACTGTGAACCCACCATGTTCACTGTCTGCTTCTCAGGAACACAAGAACTTTTTGCCTTTATTGTGGGCTTGTTGACATTTTTGTGGTCACAAAAATAAATATATTAATCCACACAAAATGTTGGTAAAATGGAAAATGTGCTTTTTACAACTTCATTCCAAAAAAAAATGTTCAACAGTTTAGGAGTAGCCCTTCCACTCTGCTCTCTAGCACTGCCTGCACCTCTCGTTTTATTACTTGATGAAATAATCACACAAGACAGTACTTCTCAGCATGTACTCCCAACTAGACCACTCTTCTTGAAAGCAAGAACCACGGGAATTTCCTTCAAGTGCCCAGTGTTAACAAGTTTTTGTGGGACAGTCATCAGTTAAGAAAGGAGACATAAGCCTGCTGAACTGCACCCATTAGTGCCCACCTGGAGAGGGTTTTCAATTTACTAATCTAAAACTCACTTTACACTTGAAACTGATGAGCTCTCTTATTTTAGGGGGTGTATTTGTACTCGAAAATGCTCCCTCTTACAACATTTTCCTTTCCTTGTTGTAGCCAGTTTGGCTGGGGATAATCAACCAAAACTGACTATTTCAAGTAAAACTGAAAGAAAACGTACACTGTGCTTACCTAGGAATCTATGAATACTGGGGGAAAAAATTAGTGGCTATAAGATACATGAACCAAAATTTGTCAAAAGGGAAATGATAAATGTCATTAACCTATGGAAACTAGTACTTTTCAAAAAGTTGAATTGAGCCAGGCTCGGTGGCTCAGCCTGTAATCCCGCGCCTTCGGGAGGCTGAAGTGAGTGGATTGCCTGAGCCCGCGTGTTCGAGACCCGCCTGGGCAACTTGGAGAGACCTCATCTCTCCAATAAATCAAAATTCAGCCGGGCGTGGTAGCACATGCCTGTAGTTCCAGCTACTGGAAGACTGAGGCAGAAGGATCGCCGGAGCCCAGCAGATCGAGGCTGCGGTGGCCGGGAGTGGCCACTGCACTCCAGTCTGGGCGATAGAGTGAGACTCCAACTCAAAAAAAAAAAGCTGAATTGGACAAATACAATGAAAACATTCATAACCTGATAAATGTATTTACCTAACATCATCTCGAGGAAAGTTCAAGACGAGGTGACAAAGCAAACTTCTCCCATAGACGCCCTACAGTCAAATCTCAACTGTCCATTCTACACACAAAACCTGAGCAGTTTACCCTATCTGTCCATAGGCCTGCAGACAGCATGCCTCACCACCATCACCACCAGCAACTCATGAACTGCAAGCTAGGAGAATGCCACCTAACTCTAAAATTCACCAGGGAAGAAAGGAAAACCAAACATTGCATGTTCTTGCATATAAGTGGAAGCTAAGCTAAGGGTCTGCAAAGGCACAGAGAACGACTTGATGGAGACTGGAGACTCAGAAGGGGAAGGGGTGGGAGGGAGGGATGATAAACCACCTGTGGGGTACAATGTGCACAGGTGAGGGTGACAGGTAAGCTTAAAAGCCCAAACTTCTTCACCACTAGACCATGCATCCAGGGAACCAAAAGCCAGTCGCACCCCTAAAGCTTCTGAAATAAAAAATAATTCACCTGGGAGAAAAACCACTCAGAAGCTCAGTTTTGCTCCCCTCCCCAAAAATATATTCTGAAAAACACATTCCAAGATAAATCACTCTGTGGTCCCCTCGACGTATACACTTTAAATAACTGTGTATGCTATTTCTCCAATCAAAAAAACGGCTGGACACTGTGTGGCTCACACTCATAATCCCAGCACTTTGGGAGGCCGGGGTGGGAGGATCACCTGAACCCAGGAGTTCAAGACCAGTCTGGACAAAACAGAGACCTCGTCTCCACACACACACACACAAAAATCCAAAAATCAGCTGGGCGTGATGGCATGCGCTTGTAGTCCCAGCTACACAGGAAGTTTAAAAGGGAAGATCGCCTGAGTCCAGGAGGTCGAGGCTGCAGTGAGCCGTGATCGTGCCACTGCCCTCCAGCCTGGGCGACACAGTGAGACTCCAAAATAAATTAATTAATAAGTAAATAAAACTAAACCCCAAAATCAAATGACTTCAGGATTAGGGGCCCAGTCCCACGTACAACTGTGTGTGTGTCCCTGCGCTCAGGCCCACAAAGCTCAGTCTTGGAAGTCAGGCGCGGACACCAGCTGTACCCACGGAAGAACACCACCCTTGTGGAGAGGAGCCACAGCCGCGGGCCGCGCCAGGAGCTCCAGGGAGCCGGCAGGTGAAGGCAATACACAGGCAGCCTGGCAAGGACCGCAGACGACAAGGGGCCCCAGGAGCGGGACGGGAGGGGGGCTGCGGCCTCGCACAAGGTCACCGAAGCCACGAGATTCGTTCCACCCAAAAGGGGAGGTGGCCAGATCTCCACGAGATTTTGGGAAAACAACGAACGCTGGCGACAACTCGCGATCTAACACACGGCAATAGCCGAACACCGCCGCCCAGCCAGTCCCGGGGGCCACCGGACACCGCGTGGGGTCCAGGGCTTGGGGAGGGGAGGGGACGGGCCGGCGTGGGGCAGGGGACCGCAGGGGCGGCGTCGGCCTCAGAAGCGAAGGCGAGGAGGGGAGGAGCAGGAGGGGGCGGGGCGGGAGCCCCCAGTCAGCCGTCCCGGGCTGTGCCAGACCTGCTGCCGCGGCCCCTCCGGGGCGGGGACCCGGCCGCGCGGCGCCGG